TGGAAAAGGGCGAATCAAAAGAAACACATTGTAGCAGCTCGTAGAATGCATTATTCTTGGGTTCGATAACAACAAAGCTACATTCGGAGCACGTCTGGATATGGAAAAGGTGTTTGATGATGTACGGATAATCAGGCTCGTTTCGAAACTTAAGGTCACAATTCTTGCTCAGTTTATACATCTAATGCTTGTACATAACGACCTACATACAACACACAACTAATTCAAAGCCTAACAGACGTCTTAGTTAGGCAGGAGTGTCAGCCTGGTCAGTTGCAACATACTTTAGGGGGGGGGGGTCATCTTAGACTCAAAACTTACAGACCATATCAGTAGGCCACTGCATAAAGCTAGCTGCTGACTCAGAAAACTGTATCCAATCCAGAACAAGTCCTTCACCATCCTCTTTAATCCTGCCCTAATCATTTATAAACCATTGACAATGTCAATCCTAACACATGCAGACCCTGACTTGGGATACGCGACTAAAACACATTAACTCCACATTTTCCAAAACAAGATGCAAAGTATTACTATAAGACTTCCAAAGATAAAGTCACTCAATATATTATTGGTATGTAAAACATTCAAAGTCAAGTCAAGCCAGCCCGAAAACTGCAACTTAAAATCCTGGTTAGTGAGAACCCCTAAATAAGGCAAGTAGACCTGTACAGTTTCATTAGTGGCAAACGTAATGGAGGAACAGCGAGGTGTTCTAACTTACAACAAATTATACTCATATTACTACGCTATATGCAACACTGAAAACAGTATGGGTCATTTATTTAATTAAAGTCCTCTCTGAGTAGAACGCTCATTCCGTGTGGATAATCATCAGAGTGAATAGGGGAGGGGTTAGTTCACAGAGACCACCAAGGCTAATCCCTACGCTGGATTAATCAAGAGTCCATACTACGAGTACGTGCTGATTGCCACGACGGAACATACACTGCTATACAATCCAACGCTATATGAAATATATTGTTGTATTTCCTACATGTGGTTCACACTTTCAATTCTGTTTGACATGTCATTCAAAATATGACTAAAGCAAGAGCACTACATTCGGGGACTCCTACATTCTTTTGTATGCTGGACTGCTCGCTATATGTCAGCATACATCCGGCAGGTCCTGAGGCCAGTCGTCCCGACATGTCTTCTTGGTTTCCCTTTGTTTCCAAGCAAATGCTGGACTGCTGGCTGTAAGTCAGCATACATCCGGCAGGTCCTGAGGCCAGCAATCCCAACATGCGTCTTCTTGGTTTCCCTTTGTTTCCAAGCAAATGCTGGACTGCTGGCTGTAAGTCAGCATACATCCGGCAGGTCCTGAGACCAGCTTAGCCTGATGGTTACAGAGTTTTAAAAAAATTGGGGGTAGCAGACTGTAAAATATAATTCCATTTTTGCCAGTTATGTCATACTGTTTCCAAATAAGTGCTCAAAATTCAATTTAGAGGATTTAAAAGGCAATTTCTTCTTTCAAAAACATACTAGGATTTAAGAGACCTGCTGAGCAAGTGTTCTTGTGGAGATTTACTGACAGCTGTCTGCAGTGTTGGAGGACAATACTCTATGAATATACAGAATGTCTAAATAATTTGACCATTTCTGGAAAGTTCCAAAATCGATTCTTAAATATGTCAGAATTGCCACATTTCACAAGAATGCAATCTTTTCCTATATTACAGCCAGATGTATTATTACATGTGAAAACAATGACCGCATTCAAATAAATTATTGTCTATGGAAATAATGATTCGTGTGCATCCTGGCTTAAAAAAAAATATGAATCAGTCTACATTAAAGTAATTTAAGTCCACTTTTTCCATTCAAAGCCCTCTACTTGACTCTACTGGGATCATACATGTTGATTCTATGCTAAGGGGGTATCAGTGCACTCTGATTCTCTTCTTTAATAAAAAAAAGTGTGAAAATCACTCCACAAAAAGGGGCGAAGTAAAAACTGAAAAGTTTTGATTCTTCAGCAAGACAATATCCGGTTACAGAGAGTTCCAAAGCAATGACTGTTCTTAAGGAAAAGGGATGGAAAGTGTTTCAGTACCTCCTTGGCTGATCTGAATTAATGAAAAGCCAGAAGTTTGAACATGATAACATGTCAAAACAGCACTCTTATCATTTCCTGTGGATGGCATTATATGTATGCATACGAGCCACAAAGCTTGACCACAGATGGGGGGGGAAGAGAGAGAGGGAGAAAATAATACGTGCAACTACACACAATATCACAGAGGAGCAGAAACTTAAGTACAAAGTGAATGATAAAATAAATATCCCAAATTTACTGTGTGCTCTTTATGTGTAACATTTATGTATGAGGATGAGTCAAAGTTAATCTGCATTTAATTTTTTTTCTTCTGAAGATGTGCAAACCAAAGAAATTAATCTTTTTACAGATAGTTTGTGACAGCATTGTACTCATTGCCTGCCTGGTGGCCATGGTGGCCATGTACTTTGCTTCTGCACATTATAGCTAGTTCAAGATGGCATCAGACCTTGTCACTCCCATTGTATTAGGGTGGTTCAAGGCTGAGCTAGACTTTAGATTTTTAGATATACAGCAGAACTTGGTTATAACGTCATCAAAGGGACCTAAAAATAGTGTCGTTATAAACGAATGTCGTTGTAACCGAAATGGGCACTTCCACAGTAGCCTTATGTTAGTCACGTAAAAATCTACCAAAAACCGAGTTAAAATGTTGCATTTTTTAGTGAATTACGTAGTAATTACAGACTAACGTAACATTAACCTGGAATTAATATGGATTCTCCATATCGTTTGTACTGTAGAATTCACCAAACCAAATTCGCGGCATACATCAGCTTTTTTCCTTCCATTTTCTATTTCACGAATCACTTTAACTTTCTCTTCAATGCTTAAAACTTTCCTTTTCATTGCCATGTTTTCGCTACTGCACTTCTCTGTGTTTAGGCAGGAACACTATAGGGTAAGCAGACAATGTTGGGTTCTGTTAGACGAGATTCTAGGAAAGGAATGCAGTTAACAACCTGCCGCGTCCTCTTGCACTATTCACGCAGTCCCACCCCACACCCTTGTTTTCTCATAAAACCCACGCTCCTCTTGCAGCCCGCGGTCGTATTCTTCCAGGACAGTCACGTCAGCAAGTAGAGAAAGTGAGGGTGGGCAGACACATCGAACTTTCCCACGATATCAGAGAAATTCAGGAATGAAAATGACGTTACATACGAGGTTGATGCATTTGTGCATGTCGTACTAAGCAAGGTATAAAAACAGTTGCTTTATGAGGAATTAGTTCGTACCATTGAATATTTGACGCAATAGACAAGGTGTCGCAGAAACCGATGTTGCTATAACCAAGTTTTACTCTATATGCCAGAACTGATAAACTCACACCCTTTTTCACACTATTCTCCTCTTATACTACCAATTTTTCCCCCATCGTCCTAACAAGTTACTGATGCCAGCAGCACAGAAGGTTTTACCCTGACCAGGACACCATGTTTCAGCTCATCATCATTTTGAAATTTCTGTCCTTCTAGGTGCACCTTCATTAGCCCAAACAAATGAAAATTTCTGGAAGATAAGCCTGGGCTGTAAGGAGGTTGGATCATGATTTCCCAGCCCACTGTTCTCAATGTTGCCTTCATCAAATTAGTCATATGTGGACAAGTATTGTCATGAAGGACGATTACATTCTTTGACAGTTTCCTAGGTCATTTCTTCCCAATCACTTGGGTAACATCAATCTTAAGGAAGTTACTGTAATACTGAGCATTAATTGTTACACTGTGTGGAAGAAATTCAACATGAATCCCTCCCTCATGTAGTGAATGTTCACACTGTGTACAGACGTTGCCTGAATGTGAGCATGTGGGAGGTCTGAGATATCTTTATGGCCTTCTGAAAACTTAGTTGTACTAATCACAGACATTTTCATGTGATAGGGTCTCTTCCCCATACTGTATACTTAACCTACAAAGAATTTCTGTTGGTTTCATTTTCTCTTTCACTAGGAATTTGATGATACAGCATTGCTCTACACTAAGATCTGATACCATATTGTACCTGCTCATTCCCACATGCATGGAAACAGGCTGCAGATAATGGAAGCATGAAGACAGGATTTGGAGTTTCAGTGCATATTGTATACCTTTGCAGCAATTCATTAGAGGCTTGTAAGGAATCAACATTCATGAAATGTGTTCATGTTTATTACTGAGTTATTAGACTGCAAAATATAGGCCCTCAATCTGTTTACACCCATACCTTATGAACTCCTGCAGCTAGCGCACTGAGATTTCCAAGGACCCCTTCAAAAATTGAGATTTAGACTTACATATGTATTTGCCATTTTTCAACAAATTTTAACTAAATACACAGTGATAACAGAGCACATATATGGCATCTGCTCAGAAGCATTACATATCATTTCATACCTGAAATAACAAAACCACTTCTTGCAATTTATAGCCGAAATATGGATTTTGAAATTAGATAAATCAGGGATTAATGTAAAATATACAACAATAAGGTTGGCTCAAATGAATCTTGTGGAAAATATAAATTGTTAATCTGACCTTTCAGTTATTCAGTATCAGAGGGTGTGGGTTTCCCCACGCACGGTGACTAGTAGTCTATTGTATGTCCCCCTTTCATTTCTACTGTCTCCATACCCTACCGGTACTGGTGCTCGCTATCTCCCCTTTCTGCCAGCAAGATCGGCCCTCTTCTGGCAGTGGTACCCGATAACTTCCCCATCTACCGGAGGCATTGGAAACTACTTTGGCAGGAAACTTTTTGCCTAATTTTGCTCAGAGGTCTCCTAGAGACATGAGGATCTTTTACGTGCCGTAAATCTATGACATGGGACCCACGGCTTAAAGTCCCTCCCGGAGGACTTGTTCCCTGAATTTTTCCACCCTTAAAAATTCCACGACTTCCACCGGGTTTGAACCCGCTTACCTTGAGTCATGAGGTGTAATCTGACCTTTTCTTTCAGATATATATTTCAGCAAAAAACATACAACTTTGGGAGACTTGATACTACACACAGACAATTGGACAAAAGATTCTTTGCCATCACATAGTGGATACAGTTCCAGTAAGTTCTCAAAGGGCAGGAAATAAGTAAGTTTATAATTTAATAAGTTGTATAAATACCTGAAATTGTCATGTTTTCAAGATAACCAGAACTTATACATGCAATAAAAAACCTTGTTAATAAAGAGAAAGTGAAGTAGTTACTATAGGATTCTGACGATGGTGTATAACACACTGATATATTGGGTTTTTGGACTTTATCCATCGTCCTGGTTTTTAAGATAACTAATAAAAACACGACGTTTCCACGCTTGTATGTGTTCGCAACAATTTGTTACGAATATTTTTCTTATTAGCTCTCATGTACTTAGCCTGGTCTCAGGTGTTTATAATCTTCATGTTTTGTGACATTGGTTTGTCCAGTGATTGAGGCTAGCTCTTTCTAACGGACCCAACAGAATAGGTGTTTTCCTTCACCTGAGGACGGAAACAGATCCAGTTTCCGAAACGTCGTGTTTTTATTAGTTATCTTAAAAACCAGGACGATGGATAAAGTCCAAAAACCCAATATATGAGAAAGTGAAGTGTTTCTCTGTGCTTTATTAATTAAGCACCATGCCATAAAGAGGTATGGGGGAGTAGAGGTACAGTTCCATCATTCTTAACCTTGGCCATATATGGAAGTGGGTGATCAGCTTCATGTCACTGTCATTTTAGTACTTCCAGGGGGAGAGTTCACACTACCCATTGGACAGGTGACTGGGTGGGTTCCAGAGCCATTCTGGACATTGTGGAGAAGAGAAAAATTTCTTGTCCCTGCCGGGAATCAAACCCAAATTTCTTGGCTGTCCAGCCTGTAGGCCATTGCTACACCACAAAAATAAAAGAAAGAAGTTAAATTAATCCATATGTTGAGAGATTTGGGACTTTAAAAAATTCAGCATGTTAGACATCAAGCATACAATATGACTTGTATAAAACTGAGGTTACACTTGAACCACATGCTTTCAAAACGTTTGTTCAAAAGATACATTACAAAATGAAGCCCATAGGCAATTTCAGTTTAATAAAAGAAAAGGTCAAGCTATCCCTGTAACAGGCTGTGGAGGCCCATAGGATTGTGAGACGTCGAGGCTCCCACATATTCTAGGCAGACGGCTCAGAGATGGCAGCGAGGTTATCAGCCTTACCCGCTGGTTGCCCTTCATCCCCAGGAAGATTCCTGTTACTCACTTCTGTTAGAGGCCACAGTGTTGGCTAGAAGGGCTAGGTAAATTGAAAAATCCTATTATCTCATTGGGAACCAAATTCATGACCTTCCAGCTTGTAGCACAGTGCCTAAACCAATTATGCTACCATGTGCCCCCATCTCAGTTTAATGGGTGGGGAAATATGAGTAGCACCAAAATAGCAGAAACCCTGCTTTTTATGGAAGAATACACATACACAAATTACAAAAGCCAATTTTTACTTTCAGGGACTGTTAAATGAATGAAGAACAAGAAGCAGAGAAAAGTTTTAAAGGAATACAAAAAGAAATAAGAGTCACAGGCAAGTGTATCTTCCAAAGCTGTAAATATGTAACTCAAGCAAAGGAATGATCAATGTCTTAAAACTGTGAAGAAAATGTTCTACAGTTAGTTATTTTTATCCTGTTGGTGTGGAAAATTCCTTAGGAGAAAATGATTACAGAAAGAGATGCTGTGTGGCCTAAACTGTGCATGTCCCCTACTTACACTCGTAAATCATCGTTGGTAAGAGATACGAATATCAAAACATCTCACAGCATTCCATATTCTTCTTTGAGGACACCTCAGGAATATTACGAATTCTGCACAAAATGAATCCACAATGAAAGACTTAACACTTTCCTGTTCACACTGTAGGAGGTAGAATTCATATTCTACTATGAATAAAACACTTGGCTCAGTGTCTTTCTGATAGTGCTCATGATGAAATGCATGGAAAGTACATATATTATCTTACGTAAGAGATCTCATTAACGTGTCTCATGAAATACTTGGAACAAGTATAACATATTTTTATGGTAATTATGTCTGAACCATTATTATACAGATTCTTAGGCACAAAGGAACAGTATACAGCAACCAAGTTTGATACCATTATTGAAGAAGCAGATCCTAATAAACCATTTTCCTTTGGAATTAATAATGAATAAACATAGATGTGTATAGAATATTATTACAGAAAAATATTCATGTTTGCAATTGGACTTCCATTCTTTCACACAGTGCAGCGTTTCATTCATGATCTACGAGGGTCATACTGAAAGTCATGAGCAACAGTTTTTTGTAAAGTAACATGCTTTATTATTGACAAACCACACCACATCAATCTACAGATCTTTCTTTATTTTTCCACATAATCGCCACTTCTTTGTACACATTTCTCCCAGCGTTCTGGGAGTTTGAAAATTCCATTCCAGCCATCCGAAGACACTGACACACTGCTTTCTGAATTGCCTCCCTTGTCTCAAAACGTTGTCCACGCAGCTGATCCTTCACAAATCTGAAAAGATGGTAGTCGGAGGGTGCCAGATCAGGGCTATAGGAGGGGTGTGGAAGAACTTCCCACCTCATCTTTGCAACTGCTTCCAATGTGGGGCAAGCGGCATGGGGGCGAGCGTTGTCATGCAGGATGATGATGTTTCATCCCGGATGTTTATCGCGCAATGCATGACGGAACTTGTGCAGCGTCTTGATATGACAAGCAGCATTGATGGTTTGCCCAGGTTCCTGGAATTTGGCCAGAATAAACCCTTCTGCATCCCAGAAGACTGTGCTCATCACCTTCACAGCTAATGGCACTGTCTTTGCCTTCTTTTGTGATGGAGAATGCAAATGGTGCCATTTCATACTCTGCAGTTTCGTTTCAGGCTAAAATGGTGAAACCAGCTTTCGTCACCTGTCACAATACAGAGCAAAAAATCAACGCCTTCATGCCGATATCTCTGCAGCAGTTCTGAGGTGATGGCTTTACCCTGACCTTTGTGGTCTTCGGTCAGTAACCGCGGGACCCAACGAGCACAAACTTTCCTATAGCCCAAGCTTTCAATCATCTCCTGTACTGCACTGAGCCCTATTCCAAGTTTTCGGACTAATGTGTCCACAGTCACACGCCTGTCATTTTGAATGATCTCATCCACTCTTTCCTTGGCGCGTTCAGTTGAGGCTGTTCGAGGACAACCGCTCTAAGGCTCATCTTCGATGCTGGTGTTCCCATCTTTAAAATGTTTCACCCATCTTCGAACACTGCTCACACCCATGCACACACTTCCATAAGCATGCTGAAGTCTCTGGTGAATTTCTGCAGCAGGGATTTCCTCTTTCACAAAAAATTTGATGACAGTACGCTGGTGAAATGACATATGGTTGTCGGCCATTTTGTTAGGAGTGATACTGGTCACGTGATTCAAGCTATTGATGTCACAAGACACTCAGGGTTAACACAACAGCTGGTTCCACCTACCACCGTACTCTCTTTCGTCTGCTGTTCCCAGGTTGCATGCAAAAAAAAGTTGCTCATGACTTTCAGTATGCCTTACGTACATTCAGTCACTTTGTTCCCATATCTCGCAAGTTAAGAGCATAAAATTCTGTAAAAAGGAAATGAAATTTCAGTTGTTATCTTCTCTAATGAATAAGCATTTTTATAGAAACAGAAGACACCAAAGATTCATTCTCCTTCTGGATAACAGTGGTGTGTGACATTAGTAACCTACTTGCACAATAAATAGCATGTGCAATGTAACTTTATATGACACTGATGCCACTCTATAGAATTGGTGGACACCGACTCAGAATAGATAAGAAATACATAATGTTTACAAAGTTCAACAAGGTGCCACAATAAACCACTGTGACATATGAAATGGATGGACATAAAAAAAGTGGTAAGTACACATTTACATAACTTATCCTTCCAGCCACACAGTGGCCCTGTGGTTGACTCAGCCTCTAACAGAAATGAGTACCGGGAATCTGCCTGGGGAGTAAAGGGAGATCGGCAGGTAAGGATGACAACCTTACCGCCATCTGTAAGCCGACTGTCTAGATAATATGGGACCCTCAATGTCTCACAACCTTATGGGCCTCCATGGCCTGTTACAGGGATAGCTTCCCCTTTTACCAGCAATATGACCTGATTGTATGAAGATCAAATTCAAGCCCCCTTCTTTTATTGAAAAGCTTTGGGATACTGTTTAAAAACAATGTTTCAGTATGTTGGAATGACATCACAGTTAATAACACCTCATAGTCCATATCAGGGGTGGAAACTTAGTGAATGCTGGAGCCAAACCTGATAATTTCTGGCAGTTTGGCAACTGCAAACAGATGTGGTCTGGTTGTCTGAGGTGCTCTGGTAACTGCTTTTCATGCAGCAGATTTTTCACACATGAATTCACTTGTAAAAGAGGCATTTCCATGAACTGCATTAACTATTCAAAAGAGCTACATACAGCTCATGAACCACAGTTTGGCCACATGTGATCTATACTGCCTGCTATGAAATCAAGAACTCAAGCTAATGCATGTAAGAAATTGATGCCTATTAATTAACATTAAGGGCACTGCCAATAAACTGAAACCACTGGGAGACATTACAAGAACATCAATAACAATAAATAATTTTGAAATTCTGTTAGCCTCTGTTTCACGGTTTTATCGGGTTTCCTCAAACAGAAACACATTAAAATCAAATTATTTCTCCAACTTTGAAATTCCGCACATTTGTCACATAATTATGTGAAGAGAAATGTACCAGTACCCTTAGTGAGAAGTAGAAACGTTCATGTACATTATAATGTACATGAACGTTTCTATTTCTCACTTAGGGTACTGGTACATTTCTCTTCACTTTCTTGGCCAGAATGAGTTTTGAGTATAATCAGTAACAACGGGTACCAACATCTCCTTCCCCACAGGATAAGGGACAGAATATGAAATTGATATCCATATAACAGCCATAATAGGAACTGCGGAACTTTACGGGCATCACAGATAATAAATACAATCCTCTCAACTTACCTTTCAAAAGACGTTTAACATTACAGCAGGAATAAGCAGCTTTATTTAGAAATGCTCTTCATTGGCTCTGAAAAATAAAAATGGACATGAATAATGGCACTGTAATACCCAACACAAAAGATAATGCAATGCCAGATGTTTGTACTTTATTTAGACTATTATATTTTCTGGATTAATAAATGGCAGGCATATAAAAATAACAATCACTGTAAGTACAAAATTATACGAAACAAGAATCGCCCTCCAATATATAATTTCACAATACTGCCCCCAAGAAATATATTAAAACCGGTTTTACTCTATTACACAGATGATATGAATCAAATAATAACGAACCTGTATACTGTATTGAAAGTTTTAAGGCTAAATGACTGATGCAATCAAATAAAGGTGAAGCATATGTCTATGCTTAAGACTACTTGTTACTGGTCTAACCGTAGCCACGAGAGCATATAGCCTGGTTTTGACAGCTACGCCCACATGACAAGTCCGTAAAATAAGGCACTTAAATATTTACTGTAAATCTTATGGAAGTAAAACTGGTTAAAAATCAATTATTCTCCCGGTAACTAACAATATCTCCATTGGACAGTCCATTACATACACGCACAATAAGGAAATACAAACCAGATGTCTGTATAACCATCAACAAATACTTCTCACGTCGCCATGTTTATTGATTTTCATATGCGCAATATGTCTTGCGCAGAACGAAAAACACGAAATATGAAATGTAAAGTAATGGCGGGAATGAGAATTATCTCTAACATATTAACATTTCTGTCATTTAAAAATTGAACTAAATTAACGTACATTAAAAGAGGAGAAGTGGTCTTGCAATATAGTGTCTTAGTTGCTGTAAATATATGATCAAACACAGAAAATCAAAATTATAGACATCACGCACCATCTAGCGATATTCATCATACAGTTGGAGAATTCTTGTCATTGAAGCTATTTAGGATATTTCGCTCGTAGTTTTAAATTTCTAAAGCCAGTGTACAACATAAAATGCGCAACATATTGAAAATGTTGACATACATGAGAGCAAGTGAGCAAATGAAGGAACTCCATCGCCATACAAAACTAATATGATGACAAATGACATATAGTGGATGTCAAGAAATGTCAACTCCGTATCAGTTCAGAATTGACACCATCTATCCACCAATTGGTAGTACGTGGTATATTTCTTTTCTCTCAATGCGATTTTGATATTCATAAGTTCGTTCAATATACTTTAAGCATTAACTTATCATGAACATATTCCTACATATTCTGTTCCTTTATGTCACTGTAGTTTCTGTGTTGATTGCATCATGCAGTAACTATTATGTCAGCATTGACTCCAAATGTTTATTTCCACTGACAATGACGACTTTGACCAGAAATCAAATAAACGAAGCAGCCCACCGATGTCCTTGAGTCCCTTTGTTATGATACTTATCATACAGAGTAGATAATGAAAAGTTCAGTCCAGTGTGACATACGAGTTTACAACACTTCAGTCCTCATTCGCCTTACATGTTTCGATTCAAAAGAATCATCTTCAGAGGCTCGCCACTACGATAAGGAAACACTGTCACATAAGATATTTTAACAATATGCACTTTAGATATGTCTAATGCTCTCTATATAAATTTTGTTATCACAGTTGGTTTTGATGTTTGTCTTAGGCACTCACAATGGCGTTTCTTGAAGTGTAGATTTACTGGTTATTACTAGGGTTTTCCACTGCACGCAATATTGTGTTCACTTTTCCATACAGTAGACTCCCAATATATTTAAAATTGTATTAAAATTTCCATGTAAAAAATTAGTTATTATATTAAA